ACGATTTCCGGATAATACAGTTATAGCATGAATAAAAGACATTTATCATGAACATTGAAATATAATAATACTTTTATTATTGCCTCTAGGGCATATTTCCAACACAAAGAAGAATTGAGTATCTGGTATGGGCACTCCCCTTGGCAACTACCAAGCTTGGGGGAGTGCCCCGGTATCGTATCACCATCACTTTTATCTTTACCATTTTTCTTAGTTCGATCCTTTTGGTAATATCTTGATCTAGTAGAATAAAAGTTCTTAGTATGATCTAGTTGTGAGTTTTGCTTTATGATCTAGTCTATGAGCTATATAATAAAGATTAGTGTTGAGTCAAGGGCTTGATTATTTTGCCATGATCCTAAGTGAATAAAAGAAAAGAGAAATAAAAAGGGGAAGAAAGAGATCATATGGATCTTATGGAGAGTAATGAGCTCACATAGAAAAAGTATGATGAATGAAAGTTGTTGAGAGTTGACAAACATAGTTTTGGTCATCGTTGCAATTAATAGGAAGTAATAAAGAAAGAGAGGTCTTCACATATAAATATACTATCTTGGATATCTTTTATGATTGTGAGCACTCATTAAAATATGACATGCTAAAGAGTTGACATTGGACAAGGAAGACAACGTAATGGGTTATGTTTTCTTACATCTGAGATAAATTATATTGTCTTGGATCTTCCAACATGATGAGCTTGCCTTTTCCCCTCATGCTAGCCAAATTCATCGCACCAAGTAGAGATACTACTTGTGCTTCTAAATACCCTTAAACCAGTTTTGCCATGAGAGTCCACCATACCTACCGGTAGATTGAATAAGATCTTCCAAGTAAGTTGTCATCGGTGCAAGCAATAAAATTGCTCTCTAAATATGTATGACTTATTAGTGTGGGAGAAAATAAGCTTTATACGATCATGTGATATGGAAGAAACAAAAGCGACAGACTGCATAATAAAGGTCCATATCACAAGTGGCAATATAAAGTGACGTTCTTTCGCATTAAGATTTTGTGCATCCAACCATAAAAGCGCATGACAACCTCTGCTTCCCTCTACGAAGGGCCTATCTTTTACTTTTATCTCCTACCTTGCATAAGAGTCATGGTGATCTTTACCCTTCCTTTTTACATTTTATCCTTTGGCAAGCACGGTATGTTGGAAAGATCCTGTTATATATGGCTAATTGGATGTGAGTTTTCATGAACTATTATTGTTGACATTACCCTTGAGGTAAAACGTTGGGAGGCAAAACTATAAGCCCCTATCTTTCTCTGTGTCCGATTAAAACTCCATACCCATAAGTATTGCGTGAGTGTCAGCAATTGTGAAAGACTATATGATAGTTGAGTATGTGGACTTGCTGAAAAGCTCTTATATATTGACTCTTTCCTATATTATGATAAATTGTAATTGCTCCAATGACTGAGATTATAGTTTGTTAGTTTTTAATGAAGTTTACAATTCATACTTGAAATTGTGACTGAATTATTACTCTAGCATAAGAAATCATATGACAAAAATTATGTAAATTGTTGTTCTAAGAATAATCACCTCCCAATGACCCCTCCTGATAGTGCGAGATCCCCAATACTCAAGAACAGAAAAGAAAGGCAATGCAGGCCCTTCACGACATCCTTCTTGAGCACTTGAATTTTTGTTCCATGAGACATCGATCGAGAATACTTTATTCCCATATACAAGGTCATAAACTTAAATTACAAGTACCTAGGTAAAATTTAATAACTATTTTGCAAGCCAAATTTTCTTCTTATTAACTAGGATCATTAATATGCCCGCATACATGCAAGGAAGGAATGAGAAGGAAGTAGCATAGTGTCACTATGACTACATACATGCAAGTATTAAACAAGTTGCTAGTACGAGAAAACATTATTCAATTTTTCCCTAGTTATTGTTAGTGGCCTTGTATAAGTGCAAAATTTATTTTTCATAGTGACCTTGTATAAGGGAATGAAGAGAGTACCAATTTTTTTATGAGAAATGAAGGAAGCGTGGAGAGAAAAAAACCAACATATGAGGGACGGGAAGGAGGTGAGGCGAATGTACCAACTCCGCTTATAAATAGAGATTCACTATTGAGGCCGTAATATTTATTTTTTTGCCTCTTGCTTTCCAAGCTGCTGAAGGTAGCAAATACGTTAACCGAAAATGCATGGGAGTGGACGGGCTCGCCTACTCACTGAATCGTGAGACGTTGCTTCACTTCGGGATGCTGAACGCATGCAGTTTTTCAGGGCGTGTACGGCGGTTTATTTAATGTGTACTGTGCACGGAAGAGACGGTGCGTGCCGACGGCCGTCGCAGAGCTAGTGACGCCGTCTTGGTTCTGTGATACGTCAAAGGGTTTGGCTGATCGTTGGTGCTGATCACATTTAGATCTGCGAAATAAAAGCATGTACTGTACTTTTTATTAGCATGGCACACAAGTGCGGGATCTTTCAAATGACTTGCTAGACCGGACTTATGTTTTGTATGAAAACCAACGCATTCGAGTAATGTTTTTCCCAAACCTCTTTGCTTTTTCTGACCGTAAATCAAAAACCTAGATCCTTGCAAGGCGTTGATTTCTACAAAATCCATATATGCCTGGCCAGACGTGAATCAAATTTGTTTTTTGCATCGTGGTTGTGGGGGCGGCAGCTAGAATGAGTTCAACTTTTAAATAAACTATGAACATGAGACATGACGAAATGACCAATTTTAATGTTTGATGAACTAAGAGCATCTACAGAGGCGAATCTGGCTCCTAAAATGCTGCGGACGCGTCCACAAGCACTGATCAGTCACTCCTCAATTCCTGTCACTCACACCCTTGTACATATTCGATAGCATGTATCCATGCTAAAGCATGCAACGTGAATAAAAATACGACAATCCCCAAACAAACATGCATAGAAATGTACATTTCGATTACCAAAAGATCACCAATGGATCTCCAAAAAGTTGCCAAAGTTCACATATATATCAATATAGACTATGGCCAATTTTAAACTAGATTATTTGAAACTTGAAGTTAAAGATGGAGACACACCACTTCCTCGCCGGCCCTTTGCTTTTCCGTTGGCGGTGCTACTCTGGCCGTCGGTGTACACATCGGCCGCCGAAGGGACATCGTTGTCGTCGAAGCTTGATCCGTCTTCGTTGTCGTCCAATAGGTCCATGTGCATCCCGGCTAGCCTCTAGAGCAAGCGCTCTTGCTCCTCGGCATGCCTCCTTGCATTCGCCGTCGCCCCGCACTTCGATAGCTCGATGGCGAGCCGGAGCCATCGCGCAACTGACTCCGCAATATCAAGGAGTGGCGGAGGACATATGCAATGAGCGCGTCCTCAGGATCGACTGACATGCGCGCAATTGCCCGGCCCGTCGCCAACGTGTCACCCAGCGCCAACCTCCCCCTTGCGTGGTTCCGCTCACGTAGTGTGGTCCGCACCTCCGACTCGGGTGTCCTCGACCGGCCCGACACCGACAAGGGCACAAGCACCCAACGGTGCCCGTGGACGCTCTCCGGAGATGGATGTGGGTATATGTGGGGTCGGTGGTGGCCAAGTTGACTGTTTGGCATTGGCCGCGCCACATGCCTCGGTGCTTGTCTAGCTGAGGGCTATGTTAGGTCGCGAAGGAGTGATGGCGATGGCAACCTCTATACCGTTTTCCCTCGACAGCGTGTGTACGTTCTTGTGTGGGTTGCCAGGTCGGCCGAGTGTGGCCTGTTTTTGTGGACGTGTTGTCACAATTTTCGCTTGGTTTTTCATTAATTAACCGGACAACTCTCTCCTTTTTAATGGATCGAGATCCTTCAAGGCCGATTTTTAAAAAAGTATGCGCCACTCCTCATATTTAGGGCAAAAGAAAAATCATGTCAAATACAACTTGCAAAAAGCCCACAATACCACAAGCGAAATTTTCTCTTTTTTATATTATACTCCCTCCGCTCTTTTTTAGTCCGCATATAAATTTTGTCCAAAGTCAAAGTGTCTTTACTTTGACCAAATTTATAGAAAAAAGTATTAACATTCACAATGCCAAACTAACATTGTTAGATTCATTACGAAATGTAGTTTCGTAGCATACATATTTGATATTATAGATGTTGATACTTTTTAATATAAATTTGGTCAAACTTTGCGAAGTTTGACTTGACACAAATCTAATATGCGGAGTAAAAAAGACCGGAGAGAGTATGTATATAATTTGCACATCGAGTTTTGCCTTTTTTTACGAATTGTACTTGTAGAGTTTTTTTTCTGTTATTTCCCCCGTATTTTCCAATCTTTAGAAATTTTCTGTTTGTTTTGTAGCCCCACCTCCTCTTTTGCAATCGTCATCATACTTTTCAAATGAATCGACTGTACATCTAGGAAGGCCTGGACGCGTTGAATCGCTATTACAATCCATGTCATGGACACATGCATGCTGTACCGCCATCATGTCGTTATATTACACGGTGCCGTCACCGTATACTACTATTGCACGATGGGTATCGTTGGAAAAAAATTATATGAGATCAGGTCTCACGGTTAGTAGATGAGACCTGCTCTGATGGATGATACGTGACATTCACAAATTCCAAAGCATCTAATCTCTCCCCCCTGATTTTAAGTGAGAGTGGGATAGATACTTTGTGATTTATGAATGTCACGTGTCATCTATCAGGTTGGGTCTCACGTGAGACTTAGTCTCGTAGAGTTCTTTTCCGGTATCGTTCCTTGCTCTCTAGGACCGCATTCAATAAAACTAGCGACGAGTCGTTGTCCCATTGGTGCATGTAGCGGGAGCAGGGGAGCTCGAACATACGTTAACTGCCTAAAAAAGGAGTCTTTCATGCATCCTTCCATTTCCTGCCCCTGGCCTATATATACAAACGCATGCGTCTATCCAATTAATCGTTCCCTTACAAGTTCATCCCTCAATAAACAAATAGAAGCCTAAATAAATAGATTGAACTATCAAATAGTTCATCTCTTTATATCCTGTCACCATGCAGCAGGGGCACAATTTGCCTCTCGGCATTGCTGTTCTTGTGCTAATCCTAGCATCCATCTCCCCGGCTTCTTCGCAGAACCAGCAAGCCACCTTCAACATCGGTGGCGGTGGCGGCGCGGCCAAAAAGCCGATCTCCGGTGGTGGCGCGGGAGCCGGAGGCGGCGACGGCTTTGACCAGTTCATCGCCAAGAACGTCGAGCACTTTGCCGTCACCGAGCAGATCTACGCTAGCAAGGCCAAGGCCAGCGGCGGCAAGGTGCTCGACGCGGAGCTGGCGGCGGCCGAGGCCGCCACGGTGAGGTATGTCGTGAGCCCCGACGGCAAGGGAAATTTCAAGACCATCACCGATGCGATCAAGGCCGTGCCGGAGAAGAACAAGAAGAGGACCATCCTCGACATCAAGCCCGGCACCTACAAGTATATATCTCGGTCGATCCCAATAGATGTTGACCAAATTACGAGTTTGCAATTTTGATCAGATTGCAAAGGGAAAATGCAGGGAGAAGCTGACAATCCCGATGTGGAAGCCGTTCATCACGTTTGTGGGCAACCCGAAGAACCCGCCGGTCATCACGTGGGACGACACGGCAGGGACGCGCGGCAAGGACGGCAAACCCCTCGGCACCCTCGCCAGCGCCACCGTCGCCGTCGAGGCTGACTACTTCGTGGCCTCCGGCGTCGTATTCAAGGTTAACTAATCAGCATCTTTTAGGGGAAATTAACCTGATCCTACCTATGCAATTGCGAACAAAATTGAGTTGCGTTCGGGGAATGTATGCAGACAAAATCCTATCGAAGAGTTTTTTGTTTTGTTTTTTGCATGCATGCATATCCATCGAGTTGCGGACCATGGAAATTGGCCGAAAATTGTTGGGCTAACCTTAGCCGAGCATTTAGGCCCATACAATACTTTTACAGGGAGATATCGGCAGTGGATCTCATGAAATTGGCCGCTAATTGCTTGGATAGGACGTTTTTCCCTTCTGTTAGGGTTTATCTTCTCTCGCCGCCGCGGGCGACGTTGAGACTTTTCTACCTCTTTTCCCTCGTCGCCGGCTAATCTCTCCTCCTCTCGGGCTGCTGGGGACAGCTTATTGCTGTTTACTCCGGTTTGGATGGAGGGAGTCGATCGGTTTTTCAGGCGTCTAGGGTTTTTCTCCTCCACCAGCTCTTTGGCGGCTGGGGTTTTCTCTGCACCGGGACCATGGCGAACAAGAGCGGGACCTCTGGGTCTAGGGACAAATCCGGGGGCAAGATAGATGAACTGATGAAGGAGTTGGCCCTAGGTGAGGACGATCTGGACGACGTGATCTTTGAAGAAGATGATGCCCCACCGAAAGAGGATCTTCGGTGGATGATTGTGGTCCGTGTACACATGGATAAAGATTTCAGCACGTACTGGTTCTTCAAGAACATGAGATCTGCTTGGGACCTGGCGAGGAACGTCAAGATCAAGACTTTGGAGAGCAATCTGTTCATCATGCAGTTTAACTGCTTGGGGGACTGGGAGACAGCAACTCAAGGCGGGCCGTGGCACTTCAGAGGTAATCCGGTGATCATTGCGCCTTACGACGGATATACTAAGCCGTCAACCATTGAACTCTTCAAGTTCGACATATGGGCTCGGATCATCGATCTGCCCGTGGCGTATCATGGCAAGGTCAAGGCTTTGGCCATAAAACTAGGCGAGTTTGTGGATTCAGAGCCCTCTTCCTTTGATTTTGAAGGCAATTTCTACCGTGTACGTGTGAGGCTGGATGTTCATAACCCTTTGAAGAAAGCAACTTCGATCGTTCGCGGTGGTGAACGGGAAATCTTTGCCGTAACAATAACCAGAGGAAGAAGGAGAAGGACCAACCAAAGGGAGCTAATCTTCAAAGCCAACCTTCCAGCAATAGGGAAGATGATACTGAGATGGAATCTCATGACACTCCTGAAACTAACAGGAAAAGAGGCTCTGATGAAGTGGTTGTAGCTCCAACTACTGGCCTGGAAATAGTTCCTGTGGGAAAAGCCATAGGGGGCAGTGGTGATCCTATCAGCCCGCCGCCAAAACAAGACCCGAAGAGGGTCAGGACAGGCCAACAGGGAGAGAGATTGGGGCCGGACAAGATCAGCTCAAATAACATGAAGAAAATAGTAGGAGGAGGAAAATCAAATGATGGGCGTTTGGCGGCCTCCCCGGCGGAGGACCGCCGGGCCCAATGAATCTTCCATGCTGGATTGTCGGGGGATTGGCAACGCCCCGACAATTCAAGAGCTTCGTGAACTCGCGATTAAGTTTGCCCCGAAGGTGCTTTGCATTGTAGAAACTCAGATTAGTAGAGTTCGAGCTGAAAAAATAGCAGGCACTATAGGATATGATAATGCTTTTGGTGTTGATCCCACTGGTCGTAGTGGTGGACTATGTATTTTTTGGAATAATGAAATAAAGGTGGAAAATTTGGGTTACTCGAAGTACCACCTAGATGCAAAAGTTTCTGATCTGGGGGGGTTCCTCCTGGAGACTAACATGTTTCTATGGTGAGGCGCAGACTCATCTGCGCCATCATACGTGGAGCACTATGAAGAACCTTTCGACAACAGAGAATCTCCCGTGGGTTTGTATTGGTGACTTTAATGATGTGCTGCGCCATGATGGGCATGATGGCATTGGAACTAGAAGCCAGTCGCAGATTGAAAATTTCAGAGATGCAGTTGATGTGTGTGGTTTACTTGATCTGGGCTATAATGGCACGAGATGGACCTATGAAAAGAAGGTCACAGGCGGCTCCTACACTAGGGTCCGACTGGACAGGGCCCTTGCGACAGCGGATTGGAGTCAGCTCTTCCCTTTTGCAGCAGTGCAACACTTAACTGCCGCGACCTCGTACCACTCACCCATCCTTTTGCAGCTTGAAGCAGAGCGCAACAGAAGGACGAAGCCCTTCAGGTACGAGACGATGTGGGATACACATGCAGATTTAAAAGATACCGTTCGATTATCATGGCAGCCGGAAAATCAAGTGCTCACGGCTCAGGAGGTCCGAGCGAAACTGCAAGCACTTGCTGCTGATCTTGGGGACTGGAGTAAAACCACCTTTGGCAGCGTCCGAGGTGAGATTCGGAAACTAAAGAAGGAGTTGGAAAGGCTACGGAGTAGTCCCACCAGAACGGGCCCGAGTCATGTTGAGATTAAGATCAACGATCGTCTGATAGAGCTTTATTTGAGAGAAGAATTAATGTGGAGACAACGCTCTAGGGTACAATGGTTATCAGAAGGAGACCGAAATACCCACTTCTTCCATCTCCGGGCGTCTATGCGAAGACGCAAGAACTTGATTAAGGCGCTTCAAAAGCCGGATGGCCAGGTAACAGAAAGCTTGACGGAGATGCAGCAACTTGCAAATGAGTATTACCAGCTTCTTTACACTTCAGAAGGTGTCCAGGGCATGGAGGAAGTTTTAGCACATGTCCCGGTCAAGGTGACAGCAGCAATGAACGCCCAGCTATTGGCTCCATATGATGATAAGGAGGTCGAAACTGCGCTCTTCCAAATGTTTCCGGCCAAGGCTCCTGGTCCGGACGGTTTTCCCGCACACTTCTTCCAAAGGCACTGGAATGTGTGTGGTGATTCAGTGACTAAAACTGTTTTGGGAATTGTTCGAGGAGAGGAAAGTCCGGCCTGTGTAAATGATACCCTACTGGTGCTCATACCGAAGGTATCCAATCCCACTCTCCTATCACAATTCCGACCCATTGCTCTTTGTAATGTGTTTTATAAAATTGCATCAAAAGTTCTGTCTAACCGACTGAAGGTCATTTTACCGGAGATCATATCCGAGGAACAGTCGGCGTTTATCCCAGGGAGGCTCATCTCTGACAATATAATTTCTGCTTATGAGTGTTTGCATTTTATGAAAAAGAACAGATCAAAAAACAACAATTATTGTGCTCTAAAGTTGGATATGATGAAAGCCTATGATAAAGTGGATGGAGTTATCTGAAAGCTATCATGGAGAAACTGGGCTTTGCTGCACCATGGGTTTCAGTGATTATGAATATGGTGAGCTCAGTTTCCTTCTCGGTCATGTTCAATGGAAGTAAGTTGGAGGAGTTCAGACCTTCTTGTGGTATTCGTCAAGGAGATCCTATCTCTCCATATCTTTTCTTGTTGGCAGCAGAGGGCCTTTCGTGCCTTTTAAAATCCCAACAACAGTCATCCCAACTTTGCGGCATTAAGGTAGCACCGACGGCTCCGGAGGTGAACCACCTTTTATTCGCGGATGACAGCCTGCTGTTTTTCAGGGCAAGCATTGATGGAGCTGAAAAGGTGTCACACCTGTTGGATACTTATTGCATGGCCTTAGGCCAGAAAGTTAATAAGGAGAAGTCATCAATTTTCTTTAGTAAGAAGACCCCAGAGATTGTCAAAACAGCCATCAAGGGGCATCTTCAGGTCCCAAATGAGTCCTTGAGTGACCGGTATTTGGGGATGCCGACTGATGTAGGGCATTCTAAAAAAGGCACGTTTAAGTATTTGAGTGATCGTGTATGGGATAAGGTGAAGGGATGGATGAGCAAGTGTCTTTCATCGGGAGGCAAAGAGGTACTGATTAAATCTGTGGCACAAGCTATCCCGGTATTTTCAATGTCTTGTTTCAAACTCCCTAGAGGTTTATGTGATCATATCAAGTCTATCATCCGCAAATTCTGGTGGGGATGTAAGCAAGGTGAAAGGAAGCCGGCTTGGGTCTCATGGGAAGTTATGACACGGCCAAAGTATTTGGGGGGTCTAGGTTTCAGGGACTTGGAGTTGTTTAACCTTGCTTTGCTAGCAAGACAGGCATGGAGACTTTTACAAGAACCTTCATCTCTTAGTGCAAGGATCCTCAAGGCGTCATATTTCCCCAATGGCTCTTTTCTAACAGCTGAACTTGGTTCTCGACCTTCCCAGGTTTGGAGAGCAATTCTTGATGGAAGGGACATGCTCAAACAGGGAATTATACGAAGAATAAGTAATGGCAGGACGACTAACATTTGGGAAGACAACTGAATTCCTAAAGATATGGTGCCAAGGCCGTTCACATCACTTATCCCAGACCCACTTGTGTGGGTTTCAGACTTATTACAGCCGGCCATTGCCTCTTGGGACGTGCAGCTAATTCGCTCCATTTTTCTGCCAATTGATGCGGAAGCCATTCTCAGGATCCCAGTTTGTACACGTAATGTTGAAGATTTTTGGGCGTGGGCTCCGGACAAGAAGGGAAATTTTTTTGTCAGTTCAGCTTACAAGTTCATGGTGAAGACAAAACTCCAACAAGAAAGCTGGCTAGAGGGGAGAGGAGGAGCTTCGAATGACGAGGCAGAACGTTCGGGATGGTGCTCGCTTTGGAGTTTAACTGTTCCTTCAAAGGTCAAAGTGTTCATGTGGAGATTGGCGAGGCATTCACTCCCAACTACTGATCTGCTCCATAATCAGAACATGTCAGTCCGGGATGCGTGTCCTCTATGCGGCTGTCAAGACTCTTGAAGGCACGCACTTATCTCTTGTACGATGTCTCGCAGTGTTTGGGCCCTCTCGGATGATCAGCTGGTCTCGGCCATGTCAATGAATGAGGAACCAAATGCCAAGAATTGGATGTTTGAGCTTAATGAATCCATGGATCATGAGCAGTTCACAAAGATGGTAATCACATTATGTGCAGTATGGTATGCTCGTCGAAAAGCCATACATGAGGCGATCTTTCAAAGCCCGATGCAAACAATATCTTTTGTTGAGGCGTATATTCTTGAGCTGAAGCAGCTACAGCGACCTAGAACT